CATGTAAGTAAGAAGTTTCAAAGACGGTAGCAGAGGTAAAAATTCTAATTTGTTTCCTTTCCTGCTATTTCCACCTAACCAAACTAAGCCTAAGGAAAGGTTATTTATATTTTCCATCTTCGCATGATTATCACACAAACAGTTTAGGTATACATGGTAAATATGGCTTCTTACAAGTTGAACCAAATATGTTTTTGTCTTTTGATGTGTGCTTTGAATATACAAATGTACTTAAATATGGCAGCACAAAAATTTTGACTAACACATTCATACAAGTCCATTTCTCTCCATGGATGTATGTATGAAAAAATATGTGGGCTCAGCTGGACTTCGTGAAAAACTTGAAAAGATGAGCACGTGCTCAGCTCGTCATTAATTATTTTGAAAAGTTCGGGTTTAACTGGGGCTAAGCTCGTTTAATAACAAAAGGCATCCGGGCTTAATTTGATCATTTTGCCTCGTTAATGAACTTATATCAGTTTACACAAGCCTAAGTTCATCAACGCATGTTCATGAACATACGAAGCTTGTGTTTATGAACGTATTTATAAGCCTATACGAGCCTAAGTTCATGAACAACCAAGTCCAATACTATTTGATCGTTTAATAACAAATCGAGGATGGTGGTTAACGAGTGGTCTAAGACTTGTGTGGTCACAGCTGAGAGAAACAGTTCAGCCAATAGTCATCTCTGCACCTTGAACAAAGAATGTGTCCCATTTTAGGTATACAAACAGACTGGTTATGTCTGAGATGAAACAATGAATTGCCAACCCAAAAATAAATAAATAAAAAAACAACTATATTTCTTCCTATGGATCTTTTATACAGATTCTCTATGAGGCTTATTTATGTTGCTGTTTCTAGTCTAACTGTCTCTGGATAGTCAAGCTTCCATGGTCAACAGCTGTTCTTGACTTGTTGAGACACCCAGATCATTTGCTAGCTTTGTACATAACTGCATAAACAATATATTTGTATACATGTTAGAAATATACATTTGGGGCTCCGGAGAGAGAGAGAGAGAAACCTGTCTACAAAGAATCTCCATATGATTTTCTTAATTCAACAACATACAATGATTTGCTTATCTCAAACACCTGCCACAATTATCCATACAAATTAGAAGGTTTAGATGATTGGAAATCAGCATGCAACGAAGTATATATTAACAAAGAGTCCCCAGGCTTTTCTGACATTTGTGCTCTTTCATCACCTTAAGCTGCAAAGATGGACACAAATGTTATCTTTTTAGTACCATGGCCTAAATTCGTTGGGGGTTATTATAAGAGGCATTGAGAGTTTTTGTAGAAATAAAACTAAAAATTAAAATTAAAGAGTTTTAAATTTAAAGGGAGAGAAGTGAGAACAAATTATGATGTCTTTATTGACTCCGCACTATTTTCTTATAAACTTTACCCCATTATCTACACCTATTTTTTTATTTACTTTTATGATATATGTACTGTTTAAAAAATGACTATAATATTTTTTAATAATATTGTATCAGATGTTTTAATAAAAAAATGTTCGGATGGTGACTACTTTGATGACATCAGCAAGACTGATGTCAATTAGAAAGCCTTCCATATCATCAGGCAAGGTGACCAGCAGTGCCTGCTCTTTGAGTGAAGCAGAGGAATGGGTATTGTGTCAGCAGGAAGAACAGAAGTATTGAGATGGTGGGGTTCAGTGAGTGTAAAAGTAGCTGAAGAGGAATTAAGGGGGTTGTGGTGAAGAGGAATTAAGGGGGTTGAAGTTATTAAACAAAAGTTATTAAAGCATAACTTTTGTTGAAGTCATAGATGATTTTGTTGAAGTTTTGTTAGGTAGCTAAGCATAACTTGCTGAAGTTATTAAAGCTAGAGACAAGGAAAATCAATTTCAAAGAAAACAAAACGTAACTTTATTGACTGGTGTTACTTGTCAATGCTTGGCTCTTATGATTTCTAGAGAGAAGATATCTGGAATTCAATTGCCCTGACTTGTTTTTATTTTGTTTCATAATTTATCGGAATTATTTGGGTTTTTTTGGGTTGATCTGTTTGTTGGGTTTTAAGATCGTCTGTCCACATGTTCATTTCCAGGGATGCCTGAAATAATTATCTAGTGCTGCTTTAGATGCTATTTGCTTGAATGTCCATGCGAGGGTTGTGTGAGGGACTGAGGGTTTTTACATTAATCTCTGTGTTCCCTTATTTTGCAATTTCCTTTGCAAAAAAGTACTCCTTTCCAGAATTTTTATGGTATTTAGATTTCTAGAAAAAAATATGTGGAATTCAATTGCCCTGAATTGTTTTTGGTCATGAGCCAGTTTACCAACCAAAAAAAAAAAATAATGTCACTGCCCTTTATGACTTGTGTTTTTCTGTGTTGATGTCTGCAAATTGTCAATGTATTCTTTTTAGTTAGAAAAGTATGTTTCATTCTCTTCTTTGTGGCTTCATTTTAAGTTGTTTTTCTGTGTTGATGTCTGCAAATTGTCAATGTATTCTTTTTAGTTAGAAAAGTATGTTTCATTCTCTTCTGTGTGGCTTCATTTAAAGTTGTTTTTGCTTGGGAGCTTATTAAATCTAATATTCGTTTTTAAATCTAAGAGTAGGGAATAGGTGAAAAGTACTACTTTGGGGTTGATTTGCAGGTTTGGAACCTTTCTGCAAATTTCCCATTCAATTCATGAAGGCGTGCAACTTATTTGATTACATCAACAAGACTGATGTCATTAGAAAGCCTTCCATACCATCAGGCAAGGTGACCAGCAGTGGCTGCTCTTTGAGTGAAGAAGAGGAATGGGTCTTGTGTCAGCAGGAAGAACAGAAGTATTGAGATGGTGGGGTTCAGTGAGTGTAAAAGTAGCTGAAGAGGAATTAAGGGGGTTGTGGTGATAGGGAACAAGAACATTGAGGCTGGATTTGTTAACATGAGTAGATGGACTCGGGAAGTTTGGTAGTTCATGTGTGTGTGGATGGGTTTTTAAGGATGATTTTGAGCCTGTGGAGGTGGTGGAAAGGTGAGATTTCAGGGAAGGTTTTTGTTTTGTGTGCTAGGTGGTCTGGGAGGTTTTCCAATGGATTTAGGAGGTTTAGTGGAGGTGGGGATGGTGAGGGAAGGGTGGAGGAGAGGGAGGTGGTGCCATTTTAGAGAGAGAGAGCAAGTACTAAGTTTTAAGTTTTTACCCTAAACCTATACACTGTTTTAAGGTTTAAGTATATACACTCTTTTTATTATGGAGGGCCGTTTATTGTTTTTATGGAAATGGGTAATATTTGGATTATTGTTGCCTCTTTGGCCAAGGATCAAGGTTGTTATACAACTTGATTATTTGTTGAGTTCTGTTTTACTTAATCTGATTGATTTGTTATTACAATTTATTTATTTTCTTCCTTTTGACAGATGGCTCAAAGCAGGCTTCACCGTTTCTTAGATATGTATGATGAGGAACAGAGAATGCTAGAACAAGTTAGAAACAGTGAGCATGACCTCTCTACTGCAAAGAACCTAGCCTGAAATGAAATGAGAATGCTCCAAGTCATTCTAGATGAGAGGCGACAAATTCATTCTGGGATAAAGGCAGCAGTTGCACATAGAAGTGGAAAGTCTCCTTGAAGTACCCTCATTCAGAGTCTCAGATTTGAAAGAGATGAATGCGGTGCAGACTTTGACACGGATGCATAAGTGGCATGGAAGTGTCATGGTGGTTGATGCCAGAAGGAGGGAGAGGGATTACATTGCAAGGGAACTCCGCAAACTCGGCTTGTATGTCAAAAAAAATCACTAGAGCTACCCTGTAACGAAGTACAAGATGGGTGTTTGTCAAAAAAAACTATAGATACTCCTTTTCGTTGGTTAGAGCGTCTTTTTGTTGGTCACTCTTATCCTACTGTTGTTATGGTCTAAACGTGCAAACAAGATGGTCCTCATTTTGATTGATCAAGCTTATACTCGAACAGTTGAGCCTTCTATGTTTAGGCTAGATCATGCACAACCTTAAATGGTATCAGTTACTATTGCTTTAATATACATGAACATATTGGCCGGAAAAAAAATTGGGCATATGATTGTTATCTGCAACTAATACATTTTGCAATGATACAAATCTATATGAGAATAGAAGATAGAAGAGCAATATGTGCAATCATATATTTTCACAACTGAATTATATTACAAGTCTATGGTTGGGTATTTGTAACATTTTTTTCAAGGGAAACACTTTCGTAAATCGATCGATTTGGTCGGTTAACATCGATATTCGTCCGTTACACAACAACTGTTGTTGATGCCTTGAATAACACAAAGTAATAATAATAATAATAATTTTAAATAAATAAATGAAAGTATCCATTGGCTCAATTATGTTATGTTGATGATTTTTAATTCACACGTTGACACGAAATAAACTTTTAATAGTATATAAATAAATAAATAAAAGAAGGAAACGATGTTCTTATTCTAACTTTTCTCAATTGTGCCAACCAGAGTGGTGAAGTCAGTGAGACATTTCATCAAACAAGTGATGCTACATTTCTTGGCAAAGTCTGTGAGACATTTCATTAGACAAGTGATAATCCGTTCCATTTCATTTCTCTCTCTCGATCGATCTCGTTCCCCTTCTCCCAATCAATTTGCGCTAGGATTTAGTAAAACATACACATACGAGTTTCGATCTCCCTCTAGGGTTCTTATTGGTATACCAAACTCGTATTTTCTTTTTTAATTTTGATCTCTCTCTAGGGTTCTTATCATTTCAAAACATTTCTAGCGATTGAGACTACATTTGAAGAACAATTGTCATTTCATGTTCTACAAAAAAACGTATAATATGCAACAGCATAGTGCAGAGTCCAAGTATCATCGCCCAATCGAAAAAATCACTGTTAATCAACTGTAATAATGAAGCAAATAGCTCTTATGCTGGAACGATTAGTAGCAGATAGATAGTTCCATGGACTACAACCAGGAGTATTTCATTCAATGGAAGTAGGAGACGAAACGAAACTGATAACTAAATTGTGTATAAAAAACAGCACAGTACTGCTCAATTTTTCTAATATAATTTCTTCATTTAAAAAATAAATATAGATATACATACATTTGTACATACTTCCTGCTGGAAGTATAGTATGTACAAGAAGCAATAGCTTATAACATATAATCAATGAATTAAAGAATAACTAAAGCTGCTCCAACTGGAAGTTCGGAGCGGAAGTCCTCGGCACACTTTCTCGCTGCATTGCTCTCCTCGGTCTCCATGATCTCCCATAGAGAACACTCCATATGAAGCGGATTACGAGGATCAAAAGTAATCTTCTCAAGCATGACAGCACTCTTAATTAAATACCTTGCAAGCTCAACATCATTTGTACACCCAACAAACCCAATTACTTCCACCACCTTAAGGTACTGATGGGGCCTAAATGTAACGCAGCTATGGCTTTCCCGATTTCTTCCCTGATTGTACCCGGGCCATTCCAACTGTAACAAGCAGAACTGGAGTCATACGGTGCTTTATACATTTAAGTAGACCATTAGCATACAAAACAAAAATAACAAGCATCAAATCAAAACTCAGGACAAATTAGAATCATGACATTGCTAGACTCAATGGAATAGCCAAAACGAAACGTTCCACATGCTCCATGGACCATGCTGTTATACATATGACTCAACAAGATAAAAAAAAATTCCTTTATGACATTAGTCACCCTGCTTATTGTAACAACCATAAAAAAACTATTGTGCCTAAAACATAATATTGAGTGGACATGCAATTTAAATCCGTAAAAAAAAAAATCCTCAAACATTTAAGAAATAAATTCAAGAAAAGTTTAAATGCTTAGAAATGACAACAGATGGATAAACCAATCATTAATAACATCGCCAAAGTGTCCATAGTTAATAACTAAAGATCCTGAAAATGAAATTAAACTTCTGCTACTGCAGTGAAGGGTACTCCCGGGAAGTAGAAGAAAGGGGATGGTTCCTGTTGGGTCTTTGGATTGCATTCTTCAGCATTTTTCATCTTCCAATCATTGGAACAAATTTCTGACTGCGGTTTCTTAGTTTGTTTTAGTCTTTAATTGGCTGTGGCTTTTAGTTTACTGAAGGATCAATGTTCCTTCCCCCTACTGCATTCTCCATTTCTCCTTTTTCACAGCATTGTTCTCTTACCAATAGAAATATTACAAGGGAAAAGAAGAGATACCAAAGTTGCCTTGTAACAGACAGACAGTGTACCTTAACACCTTCGTAAGTTTTGACGAACTAATAGATTAGTGAGTTGAGTTCACTCTAAGCATGTATTGCTTGGGCCTAAATAACATGGAATAAGTCGCAATCCTCAGTCATTATACTAAATGGTTTTTTTGCTTTTGAACCAAAACAACTCAGACACAAACCAAAACAACTGAGACACAACTTGATAAAGCAAAAATGGACTATAATGCTCAGCAATCACTCAACAATCTGATTAAAGTAATCATATTCGAATTAAACTTATAATAAGAGCAAAGAATCCTCAATACTAGCATGGCTGAAAGAAGAAGAATAAGAAGAAGAAAACAGTGTGTTAGAGATGAATTCACACTGTTTTGAAGAGAAATTAGACTAAAACTAACTAAATAAGGTTACCGATTCCAAGAGGTCCCAGTATCCTACTCCAGGAGTTCTTGAGCAATTAATGTACTTGAACAATCATGACAATAAAGCAAGAACGTGTAACATACTAAACAACCACGTAAAACACTTAGGCATTAAATATTAAATCAATATGGGAACAACAAAAAGATATATATTCATTTACAAAATACTTTAACATTTTTTCCTATTACTGGTAATATTGTAATTTGTAATAGGCCTAATTAAGATCCAATTACTTGGGAAAACTGAAAGCTTTTAAGCCGAAGTCCAAATGAATCAAAATTTTCATTTGAAAATTCAATAACGAAAGCAATAAACCTCACAGTTTAGAAACACAAACGCAAGTTGTAAAGTAAGACTTATTACCTTTAACACAAATTTAGACAAGAAAGGACATGCCTCTATTAGGGGGGAAAAAAACAATAAGGTTTTTATCATCATCTGCACCGATTCTCAACTCCAAATGCTTGAGCTTATTAAATACAGGAAATTTAGCAGACTCAATATCATTCTGAATAACCCAAAGAAAAAATAAATCAGCACAGATTAATAATGATGTTAAAAAAGAACAAAATAAAAATGAAGGGGAGGAGATAAAGTGAATTGGTTAAACTTACTAACCTCAACGATGGTCATGTACAACGTAAGGCTCTCTAGCTGAGAAAGATAGCTTGAAATCTCCCAAAAGTTACAAATTAGATAATTGCAGTAATCACCCCCAAAATACAATTCAACAGGGTCCTGGACATTCTTAAATGGCAAGCTTATTTTTGGTCCGAAGTACATAAATGACACGAGATTCATGGCAGAAATCTCTATACTTTCCACATTGAAACAGTAAGTTATCTCCAAGCGCTGCAATTTGAGTGATAGATCAGGAACTTTCAGATTTATGAGACAATCGGATTTTTCCACACACAATTGTTCCAAAAATGGACAGTTAGTTAAGAAGTGCTCAAGAACTTGTCCAGTTACATTCACGTATTTCAGAAAGAGATTGGTGAGGGAGTTGAAACCAGTAAACCCAAGAGACAATGAATGCAGGTGATTTGTAATACGATTCCCGTCAGGAAAATTGTAATCCTCTTCCTCTCTAGAGATGAGCCAAATATCCAACAAGTCTAACTCAAGCCTTCTAACTCTCTTTTCTACCGCAAAATTAACCCAATTGTCAATATCAAATTTACAAGTTTCATCAAGATCAAATTGAACTCTAAATTCATCTATAGTTGGACCGTTGTGCGATTTCAAGACTATATTAACCCAACTCAAATACAAATGCCTTTCTACTTCAAGTTCCTTATCTTCCACTTTCAGTTCATTTAGTATATGTGTGGCATCAAAATTCAAAGTAGCAATGTGCGTCCACATATAGCTCCATCTCTTTGATAAGAGACTAGTTCTTGCAGCTTCTTTCATTGTCAACAGTGACAAGACTGAAACAATGACATCATCAGGAAGTCCACTAATGCGATCTTCCAAACACAACCCTCCTTTATCAACCCTCGCACTATTACAATTAAGGAAAAATAAAAATAATTAAGAAAGTGTGATAACAAAAACACCACATTACTGCTCAATTTTTGTACAGAATTTCTTCATTTAAAAATAAAATAAATAAAGACATACAAATCCATACCTGCGTTTTTAGCACCGCATATTGAGGTGGGTTTGGTGGTTTTCTCCATGGTTTTCTGCAGATCCAATAGACAACAGGAGGAGAAGATGAACAGATTAGAGATATCCAAACAAACTTGCTTGATTTGTTCCACATACAGAAAAAGAGAGCAACTTTACCCATACACAAGTAAAAAAGATGTAAATTTATACCTTGCGTTTTCAACAAATATTGAGGCGGGTCTCGTGCAGATCCAAAAGAGAGCTGGAGAAGATGAACACATGACTTTCCTTTTGTTCTGCACAGAGAAGAAAATAGGGCAACTTAACCTATAAAACACACCGACTCGTTCACACTCCGAGTTGAATTAGGGTTTGTTTGTACTTTTCGTGTCTTCGTAGGTTTAGGAAATTTATTACTCCGTATAAGGTAAGTGAGGTTTCTTTTCTTTCTTTTCGTTTGTTTCCCTTTCTGTTTCAAGGTTTATACTACTTAAAACTTAAAAATAAAAGAAAAGCTCATAAATTTAGATTTATAAATTAGGAAATATGATTAAAGTTACGTACATATGAAATTATATATAATGAATTTTTACTAAATTATTTGCATATTTTTATATTGAGATTTACAAGTTTGAATAGATATATATATATTAAGAGATACTGCTAAATTTTTTTTGCACAAAATTTATATAATATATATATGTATATATATATATATATTTATGTGTATCTTTTTTTTTTTTTTTTTTTTCCTTTTAAATTTCTTGAATAAAAGAATTATTTGATTTAATAAAGGATATTTTGGAATTCTGGAAAAAAGAGTTTGAGGCAATTTTGAATCTAAATAATAGTTTTTATAAATATGTGATTATTTTACCTAACTCAACTAAATTAAAAAATCAACTTTAAAAATAGACTGATTTGCTATATAAGGCTTCTAAATTTACAGTAAGTGTAGTTTTTTCTATTATATATATTCATAGTTAATAGATATTTATAACAATGACTATTTTTATTTGATGTTGGATTGACAACATATATTTATGTCCTTAAATGAAAAGAATATGATTAGAGAATTCAAAGTTTATCATCAAATTGGTGGTAATGCCATGTTATCCACTTGATTTATATGTATGCCTCACTAATAGCTGCGCTGGTTTCATTCTTTCCTTTATGTCACATGTAAAACAATTAATTCCAAATTTCAAGGACTTCACCATTAATATATGAATAATAATATCTGGAGTAAATTTATAATATCCAAAAGATGTGTATATTTTGTCTTGCTATACTCAGAATCTGTTCTGGAAAAGCAAATCCCACCATATGCGATTCAAATACAAATACATGCATATACATATATCTATCTATCTATATATCTAGTGTATAGATGTTAGCCAAACAATGATAGTATGTATATATATAATCTTGATAATATTATATATGCTATATAATCTTTTTTCAAATAAATTAGTTTGAATTGAAAAAACAAATTACAATCTAGAGGGAAGTATAATAGATTTCAGATCCATCCATAAAAGAAGACCACTGTATCAATAGGGATGGCAACGGGGCGGGTTTGGAGCGGGTTTCCCTAAATCCCGCCCCACCCTTTTTATTTTTTGTCAAGTCTATGTCCGCCCCGAGACCCTCGACGGGTTGGATTTTCATGTTCAGCCCCGCTCCGTTGGGAAATACTGTGCCCTATGCCCGCCCCGCTAATAAATTTTTTTCTCCTACTTTTTGGAACTTAAGCTCCTCCTATTTGAATGTGGAAAGCCTGGGAATGGCACAACATAAATGAAATTATGTATCCCAACAAAAATAAAAAAAATAACATGCACATAATATAATTCAGAGAACATAATAAACAAAAATAAAAGTTTAATACAACCAAATCACAAGAAATTCTAAACTCCAACTTCCACCATAACCAAAACAAAAGTAAATTTAATACCAAGTTTTTATATATATATATATATATATATATAAAATATAGTTATCTGCTTAGCGGGGCGGGGCGGGGCTCCTAGGATATGTATACTGAACCCTTACCCGCCCCGTGACTCGCGACGGGTACAAAATTTGTATCCATTCCTGCCCCAACGGTATAAAAAATGTTTCCATATCCGTTATTAACGGGGCGGTAAAAATTGACATCCCTATGTATCAACACTAAGAGAAGAAAGAACAACCATCACAAAAGTTTTGCACAGAATGTGTCGATTGATTGACTCATCATTTGCAATGATTCATATATATATATATATATAAAGATCCAAGAAGTAAAAGACAATCAAAATTAGGATTTTAGCTAAAAATACCGAATCTAAGATGAGAACCGATGTGGTCCAACAATATGATTTATTATTAAACATTATTTATCTAAGGATTCAGAAAAAATAAAAAGGTGTATATTACAATTTTGAATCCATTTGGCATACATCAAGAACATTGGCAAACATTTTCTAGGGATAAAAACAAATTAAATGTTTAAAGAAAATAAAAATCGGAAGCAAATTTACTGAAAAAATATTTATCTGGAAAAAGAAAAAAAAGAAGAGAAAAACCATTCATAGAATCAAAGAAATAATAGAACAAAGTAAAACACATGTTCAAAACAGAGAGCCAATTAACAATATGCACTGAGAGTTTATTTTCATACATATTTCAATATATATGGCCCAAGAGGACTTACACGGTGGTTGAGCCCAAACATATATATGGCCCAATAGGACTTACAAAGTGGTTGAGCCCAAACATGCGCTCACTAAATATTCAGACTATTAGTCTTATTGGGCCATTAGTTAGTTTAAACTCAAAAAGAATAAATATTTTAGTTTCTTAAGCTCGATAGTAATATAAATCATATATATAGCATAATATTAAATTTAAATGAATCTAAGCTTCACTACAACAAAGTTCGAATACTCGTGTAATATATTTTTATATTGGGATGACCGAAAAAAATTGAAGTTATAGTTAGTGTTTTTTTTTTTTTTTTTTTTCCTGTCATCCCAATATGATGCACAACAGGTTAGTGTTATAGAGTTATACATATAGAGAATTATATTTTTCTTTTTTTCTTTCTAAAAATAATTGAAGTTACACATATAGAGAGGGAAAATTGAAGATTAGTTTTTTATATTGGGAAAAATTGAAGTTACATCAAAGAATTATAGGATTACTAAGGTTGCTCCATCAGGAAGTTTGGTCTCCCAGAACTCCCATGGAATTCCTATTTGAATCAGTTCGCGAGAATCAAAAGTAATCTTCTTAAGCATGACGGCATTCTTGATTAAATACATAGCAAGCTCAACATCATTTGTACCCCCAACAAACCCAATTAATTCCACCATCTTAAGATACTGATGGGGCCGAGGCACAAAATTTCGTCGTATTTTGTTCAGATCGTGCTTGTATAATTCCAACGGTAACAAGGAGGAATGGAGTCATACAGTGACATATACATTTAAGTAGATCATTAGCATACAAAACCAAAATACCAAGCATCAAATCGTAACTCAAGACAAGTTTGAATCATGACATTGCTAGACTGAATAGAATAGCCAAAACGAAACGTTCCACTGGCTCCATTGAGATTGAACATGTTCTGTCATATGTATGATTCAACAATCAAATATTTTGTCTTAGCAACCATAAAATTCATCAAGCATTTAAGAAATAAAATGAAGAAAAGTTTAATTGCTTAGGAATAACAACATGATCACGTTAGTATTCCATGTCCGTTACAAAGACGCAAAATGATAAAAGCAAAGAAGAAGAGAGAATACAGCGTGAGAGATGAATACACTGTTTTGAAAAGCGTCCTAAGGTAATTGAACAACCATTAGAATAAAGCAAGAACGACCATTTAAAACTCTCGAGCAATAAATATTAAATCAACATGAACATGGGAACAACATAATGATATATATTCATTAACAAAATTATTGATCAATCAGGAGAATAGAGCAAGCTAAACATTGTAAGAGCATTTTTCCTATTACTGGTAAAATTATAATTTTTAATAGCAATAAAGAAGCAATTACTTAGGAAAATTGAAATCTTTTAAGCCGAAGTACAAATGAATCAATGTTTCCAATTGAAATTTCAATTTCAAAAGCAAAAAACCTCACATTTTTAGAAATGCGCGATGTAAAGTAAGACTCATTACCTGTAACACAAATTTACTCAAGAAAGGGCACGCCTCTATCAGGGGAGCAAAAACAAGAAGACTTTGATGATCACTTACTCTAATAATTATCAACTCTAGTTGCTTGAGCTTATTAAAGACCAGAAATTTAGCAAACTTGATACTATTCTTGTACGACCCGGTCATTTGCCTTCTTTTCCTTTTTCCTGAAATTTTACGAATGAATTTTTTTTTTTTTTTTTTTCTTTTTTCAGTTAATTTTCTTTTCTGAGCTTTATTTCGTGTCGCTTAGTGTCATCTCAAGTGCTCGGAATTAGTTCCTGAGACTCTTTTCCGTGGATTGACAACTTCCTTTGAGGACCGAGTCATTTCTGCATTTTCACTTTTCGGACACTATGCGTTTTTCGTCCTTTTCCCTATTTTGTCTTTTTTCCTATTCTGTCTTTTCCTCATTTGTCACATTGTTGGCACAACCTCACTTCTCATGCTCGGAGTTGGTTTTTAACTTCACGTGCCTTCATCTTGAGTGGTTTCCACGAAATACGTATCTTTACTTTTGCGAGAAAGTACTCTGGTTGCTTCCGGTGTCCATAGGGGGCATGGATGCAAAGTTCTTTGAAATTATTTTCTTTTCTTGGGGTGTTTTTCGTAAATATCTTTTGAAGATATTTTATTTCAGGGGTTTTTAAGAAAATATTTTTGGAAGATATTTTCATTCTGGACCATAAGTGCAGTTTTCACTTTTTGGAGGGG